GTGTATATATATATATATATATATATATAGAAGTTTGTGACCAGTGTCGGGGTAAGTTTTTCACGGAGAAACCGCAAGGCAGAGGACCGATCGATAATGAGCGCGTTCGGTAACGAAATCGAATACGCGGCGCGTTGCCGCCGAAGTATGCTCGTCCCGCCTTTTCACGGGCTCCGAAACCTTGGTCGGCGTGCAAAGTTGAAGCTGGCTGACCTCCAAGAATGATGAATGGCAAGTGCCCATTCATCGTATGTACAGAGGGTGGTACGTTCATCCAGAGAAGACCGTTGCTTCCTAATTCCTTGCAACTTTTAATCGAATTCCCAATTTGGAATTTTCATTCCCCCTGTGATTGTACACGACTCGTAGACTAAGGATACGTTGCCTCTTAAAATAACTTTCAACTTTGTACTTAATTGAAAGGTTTTTTAACAGGTAGAAACTGATTTAAACTGAACTTAAAAAAAAAAAAAAAGAACAAGTATAATTTCCATTATATTTCTAATCGATTTGTATTGAAATTGATATTAGCATCTTGTAATCTATGTAAACTTCAGATATTCGTCAATTTTAAAAGTTGTTCGATGACTTCAAATTTCAAAAGTTCAACTTTAAAATTCATCTAAAAAGTGCTCAGCCTGTGCCCTACTTTTTCAACGTGGCATTCAAATATTTTTTGCTCGATATCATCGAGCATCTAGATCCCGAGGTATGAACGCTCGCACAGATACTCATTCATCGAATCGTTCCAAATTCTCCACGGACTTCTCCTAAACGTCGTTCATCTCTCATAGACAACGAGCAACAAATTTCCATGAAAATCCATAATTGTTTCCTCGTGCACGATTCTCGCAAACCCACCATCTTTGGAGCTGATAACGGGGCGCCACATTTCCCACCCCGTCACGATTTGCGCACACTCCCATTCGAGTGTTACCCCTTGCAGCACAGGACTAAAAGAGAACGGGAGGAGGAGCACAATAGCGAGAATTCGAATTGTTTGTCGTTTTCGATCCTGTCGTTTTCCTTTGCAGAAAAGGAAAAAAAAAAAAAAAGAAAAAAAAAGAAAAAAAAGAAAAAAAGAAAAGAAAAACAGACGGATACGTTCTTTGCAAGATTTTGCAAAGAATTGTTTTGTTTTTCTTCCGTGGTGGAAATTCGAGAGCAACAGCACGACTCGGTTAAGGAAAAATCGAGATGGAAGGAAGGCGAGGGCGCGCGCATCGAGCCTTTTCACAAGCATTGATCGTGGGGGGTGGTGTGGGATAGCTGATAGACTCTGGAGAGAGAGCAGGAGGAAGGAGTACACGGCGAGAGAGTTAGCTCGGGTCGAGGGGTGTGAGGGTGTGCGCGAAAGAAAGAGCTCGTTGAGGAGCGGAGGCCTCCGTAAGCATCCGCGGACACTTTGCAACTTTCGTATCGGTTTTTTTATTCGTTTGATCAAACGATGAATTTGATTCATGAATATTAAGGGTACGAGCGATGTCGAATAATTTTGAACAGAATGGATGACAGCTGCATTTGTTGTTGAAGAGCGATGTCCAATCAAGTGCGATAGATATTTTTCCAGAGCTATGGATTTTCCGTGAACATAATTAATTTAAATGTTGATAACTGATTATGAAGGTCATTTTTTTAAACGTCGAGGATACATATTGATTAACGCAACGAGTTTTATTAAGTCGTATTAATTTCTCGATATTGAAAATATCCTTCAAAAATTTAATAACGTAAAGAAATGAAAAGACTTTTTATACGTTTGAATTGTAATATTTCTATCTATTGTTCCCTTCTTTCTATTTCTAAAAATAATTTTGCGTATCAATACGCGCATAGATATGATAAAACATTCTCCCAATCAACAGCAAATGCGTTAAATACAAGTATCCTCGACTCTCGAGAGGCCCAGACACTCGACAGTCATCACTCTTCTCGAAGAACAGTGTGTTCAACAGGGAAACATTTCAACGTATCAACAAGCATCGAGTCGAAGCGATAACACAGAGTACAGAACGGTGCAATGGTCGGTATTACCGCGGGCAATTAGGAAGAGCGCAAGCAGAAATGGAATTCAAGATGAGATGAGATCGGATCAATCAGGAATATCGCTTTTAAAACAAGACACAGTGACTCGCTTGTTTGCGTTTAGAAATCGTCGATCAGGAATATTTAAAACGTGTATATATATCTACATCGACGCATTTCTGCTCGATGCGCCAACGCCATCGAGATTTTTGATTCTTAGAATACGCATGGACATCAAACGGTATTGTTCCGCGGAAAATTGTTCATCCTTGTTGATCAACGATGTATTTATTTTTCTTCCAATGTTTCCAAATTCATCCTTCGTCCTTTTTTCTTGTTCTTTTCTTTTTTTTTCTTCCACGATCGAAGTGTGTTAAATAATATAAAAAGATAAGAAAGCAGCGATACGTTAAAAAGAGAAATCTGATTTCTCGAAAGAGATGGATATGTGCGTGATCGGTGCGTTATACTCGAATATTCGGAATACTTTGGACCCGATATCTTTAATTTTAGCTTTCGTGGGATTTTCGATCGATCGAGTATTCCACGGATCACGATAGATCTCTCGAGGTCGTTGTTAGAAATGTAGCAGGATCTGGATTTCTTCGTTTGATTGTAAAAACATCGGGAATCGAATATACGTTGAAATGTAGAATTAATTCCGCCTTCGATTTTGATATTAATCGAAACGTTCGAAACGTTGATTCTCTCTCGTTGGTTTGATTAAGGAAACGCTAAAGATTAATCGATCGCGTATTATAATGTATCAATAGGTATTAAGGAAACAAGAAAATTTCAACGAATTACTTATCCTTTTTAGAATATACCTAGAATTTAATTCATAAATTCTTCTTTATATTTCGAATTGTAATGTCGACATACACTCGTGTATAAAGTTGTGTGATGCGTCAACACGAATTTTGAATATTTTGAACACAGCATCTCGATAAATTTATTTTTCGTCCCGTTGATTCAGAGAGCTGTTTCTAAGATGAATAGCCCGAGATTCGAGAATTTCGGGCAATGTCGTTTAACTTATTAATAGTCGTTCACCTCGCAGTGCGGTGAAAAGAATTTATAGAAAAAAAAAAAAAAAAAGAAAAGAAAAAAAACTTATGAAAAAAACCGTGGAATAACAGAACAGTTCTTCAAGGCTGGCTTTATTTTTAGCAAACCGGAAATATAGCGTACACCATTGGGACCCTGTTACACGTTACACCTCGTCATGTCGTTTTTTACCTGTGCGCGACGAATGTTAACAAAATAAAATTAATCTTGTTTTATCGATTTACTTAAAAAAAATCGATAAGATTAATATTCCATGATGTTATTTTTTTTTTTTTCTCCAGCGTTACGTTAGTTTCCAGTTAGTCCAGTAGCTTTTTCGAGCGAACATTTGATGCGATAATGTTCTTTACATTAAGATGATCACTTAAAAATAACTCGAATTCAAGGTTAAGCTTTGCAAATTTCCAGGAAAAAGGAGGATTTTTTTCACAAAATGATATGTAATGGGATACGTGCGATGTTTTTTTTTCTTTTTTTTTAAATTAATTAGAAGTAATCCCTTTAATAAGTCGCATAGATTTATTTAAAAACAAAGTTCTTTAAATGTGTAATAATATATTACAATTGTTACTCCGTGATGAATATATGGTATAAAAGACCATATTGATATTTGTTGCCCTTATATTTTCGCTCTCTGAACAAGCGTTGCGTTATGAAAAGTGCATGCATTTAGACATACTTCCTGAATGCGTTTGAGGGCTCGTTATTGTCGAGAGAAGGCAACAAACAGATCGTAAACCTCACAATTGAGTGGAAACGTTACGATGCAACGAATTGAAATAAGAATTGATACTAGACACGCTGCGATTGAATGGTGTTTGAGTGTTGAAACACGGGACGGACAATTATTCGAGTAAAATTATCGAAATTTGAACAACTGTATGATTGCTATTATAGAATCTTTCATTTTTACTACTTTTTCTCCCCTCACTTTTGCGAATTCATTAAAACAAAAATAATGTACGAATTGAATAAAGAAATTTCCTTTCCTGATTCTAAACCATATTTTAATTAATCATGCATCTTCAGGTATCTACGTATTAGCTAATCCTCAGCGTAATTATATGAAACTTTCCCCTACATGATTCTTCGACAATTTGCAAACTTGAACGATAATGGAAGCACAGTATTTTATACCGAAGCAACGTGTCCTTATTATAAAATTACATTTCCCGATCAGCTTCGTGTAATAGTACGTTTAATGGAATATCGATGCGGTCCGATACATGTTCTAAAAGGTTTTGCATACTCATATCTGCTATTAATATTAGTGGAAACCAAAGGGTTCGTAAATAACATGTTAAGAGTCAATAAATCGATATCGCGTCAGAAATAACAGTAAAGTAAAACCGACGATAAATTTAATATAACGTCCAAGATCTTGATCAATGAAATTTTGATTTATAAAAATGTTTATTCGTCGGTGTAGAGGTGTGACATAAATTATCGAATAAATTTTTTTTCCTCGTCCTTAAATATTATTAAGAAAAGGAAGATTATT